ACATATATTACTGAGGAATACAAAAACCAAATGAAGAATGCTGCTTCTCAGAGAGCTCTTGACTTTAGCATACATATGACATGTATAACCACAGAAATTCATGATAAGGCTTTACATGACAGAAAAATTTATATTTTATGATATTGTTTCTAAAATTCTTAATTTAAACCTGGACTTATAAAGTTCTACTTATAAGTTGTTTCTGCATAAAATTTTTTTTGATGAATAATTTGCACAATTTATTTTGCTGAGTAGTTGTATGCTACATCATTTAATTGATTTAGAAAATAGAAAAAATATATAAATATTGGATTTATATATTAATTTATGTTACCATGCTTATTGTTAAGTATTTTGAATATCACCCATGGAAAGGCCCCATATTGGAGCCAGCAAAAGGTCCAGTGGCTGGCTTCACTACAGAAGGAGGCATATTTCTTTTATTTTTAAAACTTTTTTTTATTGGGGTATAGTTGTTTTATACATAAAATATTTTTTTGAGTTGGGTACCAAAAGAAGACTGGATGTACAGAGACTTTTTGTCTTTTAACTTGTGCCAACTATGAATATACCCAACAACCCGTGGGGAATTTTTATATAATTTAAATTAGTTGTGACCTAAAACCTCCAACCACCCCCCCCAAAATGAAGCATTATAAAAGTAACACATATCTGCTTTTCTGGCTGATATAAGTGACTAGACGTATATGAGAAGTTTTGTCTACCTGTGTGGTCTTAGGATTGATGCTTCCAGTCTGACCTTACAAGACACCACACCACTAAAATCATAGCTGCAGTTAGTTGCTGAGCTGCTGAGCAAGAGTTGTAATGAAGCCACCTTCTGCAGTCCCCCACTATTGTGCAGAACATCCATTACTATAAAACAACATTGTTGCTATTTTAAAAATACAACCTACATTTCATATGCCATTTAGGCTTTTTTTTAAAAAAAACATTATGCGATACATTTGTTTTCTAAGTATGTTATTTCAAATCAAGTAATTGTAATTTTGAGGTCAGGAATTATTTTGTTGGGTCTAAGGGAAATAAAATCCCAAGACAGTTATGATGTATATAAGTCTTCAAGAAGTTTAAAAAGATAAAACTGTTGGTGCCATCATTACAATTTAGGCAAGGTATGCTAATATAATTATATATTCTTTCTTTTTATCTTTAAAATTAAATGTTATTATATAGTATAGAATTCTCTGAAATAGGTATTTTTACCAAGAATGAAGGGGAAATTTTTGTGGCTAGTTTTCTTCACAAAACAAATAAACAGGTGTATATATACATTTTATTTAGTATTTATTTTTAAATACAGATGCCTTAAACTATACACATAATAAAGTTTAGAAATTATAAAAAAAACAGTAATACAAAGTTACCATGGGTGCTTAAGTCATGTGAAAAAGTCACAAGGCCACTATATGAACATTCCTTATATTTTAGAAAAATATCTGGTCTTTTAGTATAAAAATTCTATGAAGGAGGAATTGTGCAGAAGAGATACAATGCACATTGTTAATCATATAAATGCAGCATTGCATGGAATACTTTTAAGTGCTGGTATACTCCATATCTTCCCTAAACTATAACTTGGACTTTTAGAGATGCTTGTCACTATTTGTGATTAATATTTAATGATTTACAAAAATTAGTAAACATGGAATTAGAAACTCTTCACTTTTCCATAAACTTCTTGGACTTTTGTCAATTGCAAAAACTGCTCAAAGTTCTGTGAGTAGAGAGGAAATCTTCATATTCTAAGATGGCAAACCACTTTATTTAAATCCTGTTTGTCATAACTACGGTTTCTTAAGGCACTCAGTGCACCGTTCAATACTGAATACATCTAGAAACCTCACAAAATTTAAGCTAAATTAGGCATATAAGTTTACATTATAGTTGATGAGGAAGGAATTAAATTTCATTGATTGGAAGGACACTAGACTTTATACTCTCTAGAGATATCCTACTACTTATAGAATGATACTATTTTTAAAGTCTATTTTAAAAAATTTTTAAAATTATCTCCCTCCTCTTATATATACTAAATAGTATATATATAAAAAGCCAGTCATTAAATTCTCTGTGATCTACAAAATTATTCCAATATAAAAATCTTTACTCCAGGAATTCAAGCTGAGTCTCTGTAAGCCAGTTACTGCACACACAATATTACACTCTAGATACAGACAAAATGTGCTTTAACTTTTCAGGAAAATAAGTCATTTTAGTATATACCAGAACAAGATTTCCTTGTTCAAAAATCTAGGGAATGTATTCTTAGTTAATTAAATACAGCTTATCTTACTTTAAAGAAATAATATTATGGTATGTAAATGTATGGCTTTCTCTACTTGCTTATATAATTTTTATATTTATTTTTATAATTATTGCACCAAGTGTATTTCTATAAAATGATGTATTTCCTATATAACCTATGGTCATCACAGTTTATAATCTGTTATTAATAAACAGTACTACCACATCCTTGTTAAGAGTCAGAATCACCTAACCTTTGAATATTAGAGGTCTTTCATTTGATCTCATTCATTATCATCATACAGGAGGAAACCAAGATCACACAGCTAATACATGGAGGGACTGGGATTCAAAAACAGGTCTTCTTTAAGTCACTAAATGCCTTCTTTAAGGCATTTTCTTTAAGTCACTAAAATATCTGATTAAATAATCTAATGGAAAGCACGATATACAAAACAGAAAAGTGACATTGACCAAATTTCTACTAAAATGGGATTTGAACTTACAATCCTGAAAGCTTGCTTTTTGGCTCAGCTATGTATCTGTCTATTCATTCACTGAGCCAAAAGCTGCAGTGGGAATACCATGGTGTGCAAGACAGACAAAATTCCTTGCCCTCACACAATTTAAATTCGATGGGAAAAACAAACGATACATAACAGAATAAAAGAAGTGATAAATATTATTAATATAAAGCTGGCCACTTTCATCACATGCTCAGTTAAAAAGCCTTGTAGCTCACTTAAAGATATGTTAAAATCAAGGTTTAAGAGCTACTTGAGGATAAACTCTAATACCAAATATACCTCTATAAAATACCAAACTGAGTGAGTTATACATTACTAGATGTATGCATCCTACACATATGTGAAGATTCTAAATATATATTTATACAGGTATATAATCTATACAAAGAGCCATGCTCAATAAAAGTTAAATTACTTCCTAAACAAGTTTCCTAAAGTCCTCTCTGAAATACTATAGAAAGTAAAATAATTGCTTCTCTTTTCAACTCTATTCAGCAGATGTTTTGACTATGATGGGATAAAATTTTCCAATACAGGTGCCAATGTGCAACTGTCTGCATTATTGCTTTAGTTTCTCGTAGGTACTGAGGTTATATTAACTGTTATAGTTGTTGAGATGAACTTGTGTCACACTGTCGTTTTATCCAGTTTAGTCCAAACTGGCCCTGAACTATAAGCAAATAATGATGAATATACATTTTTTTGGTCTTTTGACACTAAAGGGGACTTGGAGTTGATGCCAAATTGATATTTATTCCACAGAAATCTAAGTTTCTCAAAACAAAAACATCTGCAGGCAGATTTTAAACATGTAAATAGATGTTTACTCCACTTTGTAAGCAATGGATTATTTCAATATTGAATCGTAATATACCATGAATAATTTAGTGCCATTATTTAACAAAGCAGTTTAAAATATCTTATTTAACAAAGCAGTTTAAAATATCTTTCTTTAAAAAAGACCAAGTTTACTTTAAAAAGCTTTAAATTCACAGAAATCATTTATCAACATATTTTAGAATAATAACATGAGGAAAATATAGGAATTAAGGGAAAGGGTTTGAGATTAGAGGTTTATAGTGAAGTGTTAGTAGCATACATCAAAGCTGAAAGAACAAGGCTGCTCAGTCTGGTGAATGTAGGAATTTGCTGGACTTCTAGTTTCTGGATGAAATGAGGTATTCATGAAGTATAAAATATATAAAAATGGCTGCTACATTTTGCTATTGCTCTGATCCAGAAAGCCTCATGTCTTCTGTCAGAGTATGTATGTAAAACAATAGCAGGATAATATGCTAGCTTGCAAAAAGTCAACAACTCAGACCCTTCATACTTTCTGACTTAATGTACACACACACACACACACACACACACACTTCAAAAGAATCTCAAGAATTAATCATTATATGGGAGCTTCTTTTATACAAGGTTAACTAAAATTAGGTAAATTGCTGTAGTATTTTGGGCAGTAAAAATAAAATCACCTTTTTTTTTCATGGTATAGGAAGATGCTATCAGTATGTAAACAAATCAGAAATTATCCATCCACAAAGACTCTTGGAATGGGTATTTTCCTCAAGAATTCTCAGGAATGTGTGTAACCAGGAAAAATCAAAAGTCAACATTTATTAAGCATATACTATGTGCATATGTTACACTGGCAATGTGAGGAAACTGGGAAATGTGAGAAAACTATTGCACTGAAAGGGCATGGGGGTTCACAATCTACTGGAAGAGATAAATCCCTAAATAACTGATATGAGGTGACAAAAAGGTAAAAACATAATACAGGGATATAAGAAATCAATTATGAAAAATTAATTTTGAAAATGGGGAGATGAAATATTTGGGGGGAGAGGGAGAATCAACTGAAATGAGGCTGGGACTGCCAATGAATATCCAGACTATGGCAGGGCGGGGAGTAGAAAACTTTATTATTGGGTCATCCCTGGCTTTTTGTAAGGCATCTTATTCATCAGGATCAATTATTGGGACTTTGCCAGAAGATAAATTTTTTAAAAAAATTCACATATGCTATCAGTCTTCTGGGATTCCAGAAGTATTCATCAAGAATTAGTCATTCGAATCATTTTCACATACTATGAAAGCCGTCAAAATAAAAATGCTAAACAGATTTAAAATAAACATTTCCAAGTTTCATTAACTACTATTTAGCATTTTAAGGTAAGAAATAATAGAAATTTCATTATGAAGATTTTTATTAAATTATAGTATACTACAGTTTATGTCTTAATAATAAGATTTTAATCTTTAGGGTAATATGATATAAAAACCTACTTGGCCACATTACTTCTTGAGTTTCTTTTGGGCAGCCTTCTTCTTGACCATCTGTAATCGCTTCATGGCATTGAGTTGTGATTCTTGTGAAGTTGGACCTTTAAGGGATGCTGAGGGAGAGCCGCTTGATTCTGAAGTGGTTTTGTTAGTGGTACTTCCACTAGGCCCTGATGTCCCACTATTTCCATTCCCACTTAGTTGGCTGCTGCTTCCTGGAACCAAACTACTTGGACTGGGAAGACCTACTTTGCTAACATTGTCACAACTAACTGAGCGACTAAGGCCAGTTTTGCCCAAAGTTAGAGGTGGAGGTGGTTTCAGTGGTACAGTGGGTGAAGTGCTGTTATTGGAACCTATCTTGGAACCTATTCCACCTTTGGATGATGTTGCCAGACCAGTCAAACCCACGGGCTTCTGGTTAGCTGATGAGGTAGCAGGTTTCCCGCTATTGTTTTGGGTTGTTGAGCTCAATTTCGCTGTTGATGGACCAGCAGAAGAAGTTTTGGCTGCAAAAGCTGCCCATCCAATTAGGCCACTGGTTGCTGAAGAGGAAACACTGGTACTAGAAGAATTTCCTGAAACAACCGTGGATGCCTAAAAAACAGAATATAAATATTAGAGCCAAGTGTAATTAACACCTAATATAATATTCTTAAATATATAACAAGTTTAATGGTTAAGACTTTTTATACAAAAATAATGTTCTGGGAAATTTAAAGCACAGCACCAAAATTAAGTTCTGCTAAACTGATCTGAAAAAACACATACAACAAAACCTATCCATAGCTAATGGGTGCTACCATTTATAAAGCAGAAATTATGGGATGTCATATTTTTCTTCTAATCACTGCAGAAAAAAAAAATATGGGAATTCCTTTTTGAGGACTGCTCCTAGATTCGGTTACAAGCCATATCAGAAAATCAGATTTAATGCTTTAACTTGTTTTTCACCCCAAAAGGTTACTATTTAGCTCAGTAAAACATCTAATTCTTTAGGCTTTGCTCCAAATGACTTGTGGATCATTTCAAAAACAGAATCCACTCTTAATGGACAAAAATGCTCACGCCCAGGATATGTAGGAGATGTCTGAGATGAAGAAATTCACTCAATAAATATTGAGTGAAGACATAAGATTTTGAACCTATTTTTAAAAATCTCCCTCAAATTTTGAGCAAACAGCTACTGCATTGCAAAATATATACAGATACACCATGTTAACTACTTGGAATTGTACAACTCTAAAGGTTGAAATATACTAAGAAGGTCTCATGACTTTATTTTCACAATTTGTCCATGTTTCCACTGAAACTATCACAAAGAGATCCCTGCTTCTGTATAAGATTTTTAATCAACTGCCTCATAAGCTGCATAGTGACATTTTGGGTATGCCTGACTCACTCCCAGATGTATTTCTTAAAGGTGTAACACTTCAATTTCTCTAATTAACTTCCTTGGCCAGTCAAAAACTAACAGTGATACCAATGTCGCTACATAAATATTGTTCTTATTCATATGAGAACAATTTTTTTCGCCTTAACGTTTAGGGAAAAATGCACTTTGTTCAAATTAATTATGGACTGAATTTCTCACTGGCACTTTTTCTACCTTCGTATTCTTGAGATTCACAAAAGTGTTAAATACGTAAAAGGTAAAGTCTTACAAATAGTATCTTACTTTAAAATATGGTAGTTATCATGCTTAAAATATACCCAGTTATATTTTAGAACTGAACTCTGAATGAGTTGAGAAAAACGTTTTTAGTTCTTACAAAGTAGCCGTCAATACTGTCTGCATTAAACATTTTAAACCAATGTGAAAAATAATGTAAATAGAGTGCTCTGAGGTCTTTATCAGAGGAGGGTCCAGATTATTGTTCACATACTCCGAAAAACGATAGGAGTTTTTACAGTAACATCATACAATGACTATCTCATAAGGTTATGCAAAGAAGATAAACTTTACATCAGTTACAAGTTCCTAGAGATATGCATAAAGGTAATGAAAAAAAGTTAGTCAAGGACATAAAAGGACACAGGTGTAGCAAACTTTTAATCTTCAGTAATGAAAGATCTGATTTTTTCCTTTTCTTCCTATTCAACATAAAACTGCCTGCTATATGGCTAAATGATCTTTCAACAAACTTCACAAAAGAAAACCCATCTGAAGTAATCAAAAAGACCAACACTTACGAAGTACAAAGCAAGTTCTGTGTGTATGGCATTTTATTTTAATGGTTTGCTGTTACTGGTATTGCTTTTCAACTGAATGACAGATGGCTTATAATACTATCAGGATGCACAAAAGTAAAATAACACAAACAACGGAGACCAAGTAATTTCTTACTATTCCAGCTCAGAAAATAAATTTCACAACTGTTCTCAACTAAAAATATTTTCTTGCCTATTATCCTAGTTAGAAAGCTATTTTTAAATTGCTTTTTATATATAAATAGGAACAATTTTTTTCATAGTAAAATTTATTGTATTTTATCATAAAAACATCAAAACCTCTTAATCAGAACAAACATGACAGCCAAGGCCTTAATTTATTTGCTGTAAAATAATTTCATATTGGTTTCCTAAAAATAAACTTTAGTAGTAACAGGTTAGTATAAAAAGCTACCTAAAGTGATTTAAGTATAGAATATAGCAACTCTAATTACTTTCAATAAGTTATTCTTACTTCTATTCTAGCTCACCAAGTTTCTATGTGACAAATCGATAATGGATATCCCTTGGATATCAGCTCTTCCCTGGTAAATTAAATTAAAAATGATCTGCTAAAATTATCAGTATCCTTCTCAGAGTACTTTATACTCATATTCTTTATCATCAAACCAATGTTCTTGATCTTTGCTACTTACAGCCACTGGGACAAGGTAATAGCTTTAGAATTTTCTAGGGTTAACCTTTGAGAATTCGGGGCTAACATTTTTTTCTTCCATCTTTAAAATTCCAACTTCTGCTTAAAATTGGAATGTGAAACTCAAAGCATTTTTTGTTATAAAATTAGATTAGAAAAATATTTTATTCCATGATATCAAAATGCCAGAATATTAATAATAATGTAGCATGATGTCAAGGATGAAAATCTAGGAATGAGAAAGGTGATACTCTCACTAGATAATCTGGCTCCTTAGTATAAGAGAGGGCCAATTCATGGGGAAAATTCATGATAATAATAGAAAAAAATAAGACAAAGAAGAAAATTTCAATAGCCAATAAGCAGGAAGAAAAAAGCTATGGGGCCAATCAGCACAAGTAATGTGAGGAGCAAAACTACTGCTACTGAGGACAAAGGTATTTAGGATTTAAACAAATTCCCAATTGGAGAGAAGTGGCTGACTACATAGGAATGGTAAAGAATGTTATCCTGGAATGCTCACAAACAGTTCCTAATCACCATAAAAAGAGAAATAGCAGAGTCCAAGATTAAATAATTACATAAATGTTCTCTTTCTACTTAATGTTAATAGTAATGTAGTCTTAATGTAGTCGTAATTTCCAACATATGGCCATTTAGTATACAAAGTTTCACATTATTTTTTTTCCCAAGTAACTATTAAGTCAACTAAATTTAAATCCAATCTTAGATTAAAATGGAATGTACTATACCTTGACTTCTGATCTCTTAAACGCTAGAAAAGTTAACTCTTGCTTGAGTTTAGTTTCTGGTTTCTTAACCAATGGATCTTTAACAGCTGGAGCTACAGAAACAACTGTGGGGGCTGGTTTCTGTGGTGGTTTCTGAGTTTTCTGAGCCTGCAAAAATCAGTGTTAAGATTAAATTAGCTACAAAATCTTAGTTAAATGCACAGAAAGACAATAAAATCTATCACAGGACTCCTCATTGAACTGAAATACAGATGAACATTAAAAAAATTTCACCCAAAAAGGTTACTATTTAGCTCAGTAAAACATCTAATTCTTTAGGCCTTGCTCCAAATTAGACATTTAATTTGCAAAGTTGATAAAGAATAAAAGGTATCCCAGATGAGGAGAAGCTGAGAAGCAGGACATATGGGAACACGAAAAGTTCACCACATATTCAGGGAATGAACCATTTGGTCTGGCATGGCCACAGTATGCGGGTGTATATGATGAAGTGGTGGAAGAGAAGGATACAAAGGTAGAGTTGGGTCAAAGAGAGAAGGTCCATACATCCACCCTAACAAGGAAAACATTATATAGGTAATTGAGAGCCACTGGGTACACTTAAACAGATAAAGTTAGATAATTACTTTAGAAAAATATTCTAACTGCAGTGTGTAAAGTGGACTGAAGGAGCTAAAGCAATAGACAAGAAATGAGGGGTTTGTGGGACAGGGTAACAAAAGTGAAATGAACAGATTTGCGAAACACATAAGAGGTAGAATTAACAAGTTTGGTAAACAAAGGGATGTGGAATTAAGAGAGGCATCAAGGATAATGTTTTCTAGTTCAGGCAACTGAGGAAAAACTAAGTGGAGAAGAAAACAATTTTAATTTTAAAAATATTGAACTTAAAGTAACTGTAGGATATCTGGTCAGCTGCCAAAATTCATTCCAGGAAGAGGGTTAGAACTATAAATATAGACCTGGTGTAAACTAAGTCACAAAATGTAAGGGAGTAAAAACTTAGGAGAGAACGGTACTTACTTTATTAAGAGACTTACAATAAAATAATAATAAACTTTGAAGCTATACTAAAGAAAGATTACTGTCACAAATTATTTATTTTGACTACCAATTCTTAGTGACTACTTTTGTCAAGGCAATGGAATGCACTGTTGTGCTCACCCGTAATTACTTTGGTTGAGGTCCTGGGGGGCTAGTTTAAGTAATAAACTAAATAAAAATCAGACTGAGCAGAAAACAATTGTACCATGTCAAAGAAATTTCCCATTACAAACAGAAAGTATAAATACTACTGAAATGTTACTACTTTTCATTGGAATAAAACATAATCTATTTCTTTTTTTTTTTTTTTTTTTTTTTTCTTGCGTTATGCGGGCCTCTCACTGTTGTGGCCTCTCCCATTTGCGGAGCACAGGCTCCGGACGCGCAGGCTCAGCGGCCATGGCTCACGGGCCCAGCCGCTCCGCGGCATGTGGGATCTTCCCGAAACGGGGCACGAACCCGCGTCTCCTGCATCGGCAGGCGGACTCTCAAGCACTGCGCCACCAGGGAAGCCCAAACATAATCTATTTCTGATTTGAGTGATTAAAAAATAAAGTAGGTATCTTGTTTTTTTTTTGTTTTTTTTTTTGTTTTTTTTTTTACTTTTAACTAAGTACTTCTAACTTTACAAAGATATATTTGGTCAGAAAAATTTATACAGAAACTCACTTGGTTAACAATATGAGAACTCTTCTATCAAGAGTCCCTAATCTTCTGGAGAAAACTACAATTCGAAATGATACATGCACTCACTATGTTCACAGCAGCACTATTTACAACAGCCAAGACATGGAAGCAACCTAAATGTCCACTGACAGATGAATGGATAAAGAAGATGTGGTATATTTATACAATGGAATATTCCTCAGCCATAAAAAGAATGAGATAATGCCATTTGTGGCAACATGGATGGACCTAGAGATTATCATACTAAGTGAAAGAAAAAGACAAATACAATATGATATCATATGTGGAATCTAAAATGTGACACAATTGAACTTATTTATGAAACAGAAACAGACTCACAGAAAACAGACTTGTGGTTACCAAGGAGGTGGCAGAGGTGGGGGAGGAATGGATTGGAAGTTTGGAATTAGCATATGGAAACTATTATATATAGAATGAGTAAACAAGGTCCTACTGTATAGCACAGGAATATTCAATATCCTGAATCACTCTGTTGCATACCAGCAACTAACATAACACAAATCAACTATACTTCAATAAAAATTAAAATTTAAGAAAAAACCAAAAAGAGAGTCCCAAATCTAAGGCAGGGGTGGGCGGATGGGGGAAGCAAACAAGTCACTGAAGTAAATAACAACTTGATTTCTGTAAAAGGAAGATGATAACATTCATCCATCTACTATTTAAATAAGTTAGAAAACTACCCAATATAACAAATGAAAACATGTTTCAGTACGAAATTAAAGACAGTTATGTTTGTGAGCAGTAAACTGAGAAAGTACTGGGGAATACAGGATAAATGGTCACTTGAAGACAATGAGAAGGAAAGACTGAGGAACAGAGAGAGAAACACAGGAGGAAAGACAGAGATGCACATACAAATACTGCCTCTGTACACAGTTCGTAAGTTTGGTGGTTTACACTCACTCAGGAATAGATATTTCCAATATTTCCTTACCAGACTCAGCAGAGTCTGGGGCTTTGTATCTCACCACTTCCCACAGTGCTTTGCAGTATTTCTAAATGTTTATAAATACACAGACATACCAGTAAGGAATATTTATATTTTGTGGGTCTCCAATTCTAATTTTTATAATAGAACAAGTTAAAAGCTGAGCAGAGAAAAATGCATATACATGGTCTGGTCCATTTAGGCATAGACACAAAAATCACACATATACACAAACATTTAAATCATCAGCTTATATGATTTTTTTTTCAATAACATAAATGTTCAAATTTTTGTCTTAAAAAGCACATATCAACAAAAAAATTGACAGAGATTGTTTAAAATAGAGAAAAATGATTCCTACCATTCTTTTCATTTGTCTCGTACATCGGGCACAATACCACACAAGGCGAGGGTCATTCACTTCTTTGTCTGTCACCTGCGGCTTATGGCAATCTTGGTGGTAGAGATTATGGCACTCCTGACATTCTACTAATTGATTACCAGATGCCACTGTCATTTGCCTAAGAAAGTATACCATTAAATATTACATTTATTTGAATGCAACAATTTAAAGCCATTTTAGGGTTGTTCTGGTAATATGTGATATATTAAAGAGGGTAAAAACCCCAGAAAAGCCAAAGAGCAAAATAACGAATCCCAACATTGTAGCCTGCACAAACAATTCATTTCTTTTAAAGGTTATGCTCAGCCATTAAGAAATGTATAAGATGACTTAAAGACTAAATTTGGCTATATTCTCCTTCTCATTTCTCATTGCAATTTTTTTCTTTCTCCCAGAAGGTACATAGTAGACTTTAGCTAGTCCTTCAACAGTCTCATAACATCTTCTTTGTACCTCTATTAAATTCCTTTATATTTGCTGCCTACATATTGTTCTATCTTTTTCATTAATATTTGAGTTGCCTAAAGTTAGAAACTAGACCTAATTAACTATAGGGCCTAGCACATTACTGTGCAGACACAGGGTGTTCAATAAATAAATGTCTTAATCAACTAAATAGAATGCAGTAATATGTGTATCAAAAAAGTATAAATTCCAACAGCAACAGCTTTAGACTATCATAACAAGTCTCCTTATGGAGGGTTACAATTACTAGTTCTTGCCCCCTTATTACTTTACCATTTACTTCTTTATATAAAAATGATAACTCTTATAGTAGATAAAAGTTGAAATAAACAAATATATGTTAAAACAATGAAGCTCTAACGAAATGATCCTATTCAGAAGTACATTAACTGATTCTCTATAAGGTTCACAGAAGTTTATAGGTATGCACTCAGTCCCAATGCACCAGAATTTAACATTTTCATGAAGAAAACAGCAACAAAGGTGGTAATTTTTTCTGTTGTGCTAGGCAATGAAAGTTATTAACAATTAAAGACATAGCTCCTGGCATCAAGGAGTTTAAAATCTAATTATTCTGATTTTTAAGATGCATCTTCTACTAAGCAGAATTATCTATGTTTTTATAATTATGTATCCATGTTTCAAAACAACACTCAGAATAACCTACATGATCCATTAATTTCATTTCCATTATCCTTAGGAGAAGATTTAATGGTATTTTAGAAAATGATATATAACCACTTACTTTATAAATACTATCAACACTTCAGGAAAAAAAAAGCAACATAGTCTTCTTAAACAGAAAGATGAGGGGCTTCCCTGGTGGCGCAGTGCTTGAGAGTCCGCCTGCCGATG